TCATTAAAAGTTGAGAAAACATGACAGTAGCAAGTCGTTCGATGCATTCGATTAAAAATGACCAAGCGAAAACTGCAAGTGGATGTGTTCGCTTTGAAAAGATACGAAGGAAGTACCAAGAAGAATTAAAAAGAGGATATATACATCTAGGAGAAGGAAACCTGAACCAGAGATGGTCAAAAATAGAAAAAGAGTTAGGAACAGCTGCTAACAAAATCTTACCAAGAAAAAAAAACAAAGAATAATTGGTTTGACGAAAAATGCAAAAAGGAAGTTGAGAAGAGAAGAGGATGCAAAATGACAATGCCATAGACTGGCAAAAACGAAGAAATTCGAAGAATAGAGAAGAGTTAAAAAGAATATGTAGAGAAAAAGAATCAGAGAAGTGGAGAAGAATGAATCCCAGGTGGAAGAAATGCATCAAAGAGAGTTTGAAAGAGAAAGAAATCGATGCAGAAAATGACGGAATTACATTGGCAATAAACCAAGAAAAAATAATGCCACCAACAAAGGAGGAAATAGTAAACTGTTTCTATAGTTCATAATTTAAAAAATGGGAAATGTTGAGAGGATAATCGACACAAACCAGAACTATTAAAGCATATTCGGAGTGAAGAACAGATTTTCAAAAAATGGAAACAGATTGCTGCGACAAATATAGAAGTGTTAGACGCGGTGTATAGGGATCCTGGAAAAATGTAACCCAAATAATATAAAAAAATTCTGAGACAATATCATCCGCGAGAATCAAAATGATTCCGAAGAGGCAGATCGATCATAGACCAAATCTTTATATTGAAACAAACCTAAAAAGTGTTATGAATTCAACACAATGATACTTGCCGTAATTATAGACTTTCAGAAAGCCTATAATAAGTAGATCAAAATTGTCTAAGGGATTAATCTGACATGACCGTATCTAACGTGGTCCGACCTTGCCTAAATTGACTCATTACATAACATTATTTGACTCGATCTTCTAACATGATCGTGCTTGGCTTGATCATTTATGGATGTGACCTGATCTGGTTTAACTTGATTTGACCAGACCTAGCTTGACCTGCTTTGACAGGACGCCCAATCACTAATACTGATATGAAAGTAAAGGCCTACGGCAAAGCATTAGAAAGTTTTAAGACAGCGGTCATTACGCGATCTAAAGAAGTAAACTTGAAGATAAATGAGAAGAAGTCGCACTGTATGATATTGGGCGCACATCACCAAATAAGAGAGAATACAGAAGATTTAGAAATGGAATATGGCGATGAGGAAGAATGGAAATTTGGACAGATGGCCAGTGTGATTTATATTGGAACAGTTATCACGGAAAATAGAGAAAAATAATTTAAGACTGCTAAAAGGAAATAGGAAAATTGGAGTTTTGAAGAATTTGATAACATAGCAATTAGTTTCCAGAAAAGCTAAATTACATTTGTATAAAAGGGTGATTAAACCTGCAGTTTTATACGGAAGTGGGACATGGGAATCTATGGAAGGAAAAAGGAGGAAGATTTTTTTGGGATTGTTCTATAATAACTCATTACTTTAGCGAAACAAGTTCATTCCGCATCAAGTGAAAATATTTAACTGAGTTTCTTTTTTTAATTGGGCTCGATTTTTTTTTACTTTGTTAAATATTTTATTAACCTGGTGTATACTTAACTGAAATTAAATTGACCGTGCTTACAGTGGGTGTAATGTCACATTCTTTTTAGGTAGCCACTCGGATTTTAATGTCTAATAAACATCTGCAGAAAGCATTCACTTGTATGTTTCAGAGGATGTAATAGAATTTTCTTTTGCGCAGAAATGTAGAATTAGCACTCATTTGTTTATTCCAACTTAATTAATTACCTGCAAGTAGCTCCCGTGAAAATACGTCTGTTTTTCAGAGAATAAATCACAACGTAGTAATTTATTCTAATTTAATTCTAGTATAAATATGAATTTAATTAGTTTTCATCATTTCAAGTTCCTTTGAAGTAGTGCAGAAAACAGAAACGAACTTTGCTAGCTAAGTTTTATTTCGAATGAAATGTAGGAGGCGAGTTTTGTCAATGGCGTCTTAATTTCGCGAATTAAAATTTTTGTTGAATGAAAAGAGAGAAATGTGCAATTTTCAATATTTGTAAGCCCAGAATAAATTTCATTAATTTTAAATTGTCTACTTTGGTTCTTTGTTTCTTTCATTCGACGTACCGGGTGGCGCATTCTTTTAGTCCTACGGTATTAATAGTTGTTTTATCAAATTTTTCAATCATTTTATCTTTTAAACAATGCTGGAATGTTTTATAATCTCATTTAAATTTTGTGTTTTCAACCCACCTCGACAGAAAATCTAATAACGGTAAAGTGGGATTTCCATGTAATGGTTACAGGCTGTGTACCGACAAACAATGAATTTTGTCCATTGTACATGACTCAGCTACATGTGCTCGACATTAACGTTGCTTTTCAGGACCATAAAAACATTATAAAAAAAATCCAGTTCAAATTAACGCTAATATTTTTCTCGAACCACATTCATGCTATTGTATTATTTTGATGGCGTTTCGCTTACGTTTCAAATTTTAGTTTTAATCCTTCTGTGAATGGTTATAGAGTTTGGTCTTTATTAATTTATCAGCAGCCTAAACGTTCTGATCTGAGTAAAATCAATTTTTATTCACTGGCATCATAAAAGGTATTAATTATGCATGATTAAACAAACATCATGAGTAATGGAGGACTACATAATAATTAGCTGGTCTAATTTTTTGAGCATAATTTTTTCATGCTTCGCTCATTCGTCTGCTAATTAATTAACTTTATGTGTCTATAATAAATTCATAATTTAATTAATTGATTAAACTACTATACTGAGTCAATTGGAAGGATCTAGAGCTGCATTTTAACGTAGCGTTGGAAATGAAACCAAAATTTTTAATTCTGGAACTTTTAACTTTCCGAAATGAACCAAAATTGTATGAAGTATGTACACTGCAGTATAAAAATAACCCACTCTTTGATTTGATGTTTTCTGAAATGTATGTTTATTTGATTTCACGCCAGAAATCACAAACATCCAAGAAATAAAATAAATCATTTCAACATTGCACTAAAAATTCTTGTATCTGATTATCATTTTGCTCGAATTTAAGAGTAATGGCATTGTCAACATATTCCATTTAAAAACATCAACGTTGCTTTAATGAGCGAGTGGAGCTTTTGTACTACTATTTTCATTATACAAGTTTGACAAGAAATATCGATTCCTGTATTAGTTACACATATATCAGCTACACGCATAATTACGCCTGAAGTCACTGCATTAAAATTTATAACCCGTAATTAATAAAAATTGAGTTCGCGGGTGGTCATGAAATCAAACTTCTGTAACCACAGTTATTATTTGTTTTTCAGACGTCCGCAACGTACCACTGCAGGGTAGAACATTAAATCTGAATATTTATTTTTCACCATGACTTGTAAATCTAATAACAAACCTTTTCGCCTTGTTTTACTAACTTAATGAAATGTCAAAGTTTAAAATTATAACTTATAAATCTTGCAAACGCGGCCATTATAAATTAAAAACCAACAACTTTAAGAAATGGCATCATTTTCCTTACTGCGGACGAAGAATGAAATTTTGATGAAATAATCAAGTGCAGATGATGAGAGGAGAACAATTTGTCGTGTGAAATGGGAAGAAAAATGTATTTGAAAATTGGATCCATTTATATCTGACAAAAAAGTAATAAAAAATAGTCGCGACTGCCGAGATCAAAAATTCACATTTCATATTTCCTGAAAAGCGAAGTCCGTATAAAGGTCAGCGGATGGTCTCGAATAAAAATGGGTAAATAAGAACGGTTCCTTGATATTGGATTTCATGTATTTGAGATAAAATGATACGGTGAAAATTCTGTTTTACTTCCTACGCATAATTTGCACATAAAGTAGATATGCAAACATCGTCAAAATAACACGCGGAACAGCAGATTTTAAAATACCATTAGGTCACTGCGCACGTGCCAGCTGTTAAACGTTACTTTATTTGCGTACTGGATGTAGTTGACAACAGTGTTTTAATGTATCTAAATTGTTCCTCTACAACGTTACGACGTTCCGGAAGGCGTATGTCAAAAGTGGTGTTGGAAGTCCTTAACGATGAACTGCGGTTAGTAAACGCAAAAACAACAAATATGGTTACTATATTTGAAAAATTCTACATACGCAAAGTTCCGCACGCTTATAATAGTGGTACGATGTTCCTTCCAGAAACTCTTATTGCCCTAAATATTGTAGGTATGTACTTCCCCGATTAAAAATTTAACCATTACTGTTGACACAACAATCAATATTGACTTTTCTGTTGTGTATTTTGTACCGCACAGGAAAAAATAACGCCGGATCTAATTTCCCGATCGTCGAAAAAATTCTCTTTCATAAGCGCCGAATAATGCATTTACTTAGTCACCCCGTTCTTGGAACGTAAAAGTCTGCTATAATACATAATTTATGCCATAATGGTGTTGCGTACTGGAATGACACGAAAAAACCGGGTTTTTTTATCTACTCATTCGGTATAAAGCAAAAGCGTCACAAAGAAAATTAGAAACATGTTTCCTTTCTCTCTTTATAAGATTATAGGACTCATTTCCCGAAATGCGAGTATGACATCACAGGAACCGCGGTGTCGTCACAATGAAAAAGATTTTGATGTTTTTGTGTGTAAAAATCGGTTCAGAGACACACACAATCTGTTCGATTTCAGCTTTCAGCAAGATTCGTTTGTATATAGCGTTGCATGAAAATCCGACCTGTCATGTGACGTGTAAAGTGACAAAAGATAAATTTCTATAACGAGCCTGGTATCGGCAGGGTTTTTGTTCCCGTATGATTAAAGCCGATTGTAAGAAATTGATGGCACCAATTTAATTCTTCAGGGAAGATCAATATTGGCGGAGTCACTAAACAAACAGGGGTATCGGTCAAATTGAATGAAAACAACTCACCTAAACATCGGAATGGTTTAACCCATCTTGCAGTTTTACATTTGCCCCTGGCCTGGGACCCAGGTGTGGAGCCGGCTTTACACCAAGATCCAATCTTCAAATAATGACTACTCTCTACGATGTTGGTGATATCTCTCTTTGGATACACCTGAAACGGAAGCGGAGAAAAAGAAATGGATTAATAATAATGATTGATAAGGAACGATAATAACAAATTGGCTTCTTGCGGGAAAGTTTCGGTGGAAAGTCTTAATGAAATTTTTGTCAAATGTCTATGGTTTTCAAAGAAATCAAATCTAATGACGTTTGCCGCGAGGGGTGGATTGATTGATTATCCCGGGCTATTATTGCCTCAAGTGATCGATCCTCTCGAACAAAACGGTTGAGGAAAGTTGATGGAATGATAACAGATGTTTATTTTTCCCCTATTTATGACTACTTTTTGCGCGAATTATGCCGCCGGGAGAAGAGATGTTACGTCCGGGACCGACTCAACACTCTATTTATTCCAATTAACCCGAACTTGATTCTGCTGCGCTAATAAAGTATAAACAATATGTTCTATCGATTCAACAAAAAAGCTCCAGCGGCAGTGCGCAAAAGACGGTTGCCGAGGCTCCAAGAGAACTTTCCAGTGTACTTAGTCGAGATCACAACTTACATAAAAATGTTGTTTATGTCCAATGTAACTCCGACTGATGAAAAAAACAAATAAATGTCGACCTATTGATTTAACTGTGTAATGTATGTTTTTTGTAAAATATTTGTGGATGTCAGCGGTTAATGTCTGCGCAACCTGTCATCGTTGATATTCAACATCTCCCTAGGTTACGTGATTATTTGTAAATATTTAAATAAGCAGAAACAGTATATGTTGATCATTACGGCTGTATTTGTGCCATAAATGTGTGATTTGAGGTAAACAAAGTGCTCTGATCAGGTATTTTTAACTTTAAATCGCACTTTTCATTGATCTTTGGAGCTTTTCGTTCGTTTTGGTTAATTATTTTACTATCGTGGGTTGTTTTTTGCTTTCTACAAAGGATTATGAATAGAGGGCGGGTTTTATGAAATTTGCATATCCGTTATATTTTGCATAGGTGATATGAATGCTTTGAAATCTTGCAGATGTTTCAAATTTATAGTAAAAATAATAAATTTTTAATCAAAATATATTTTCTTATCCCCTCCAAAAAATTGATGACGTCACCTCAAAATATTGCTGAATATATCCTCTCTTAAATGTGCAAAATATGATAAGTCTATACTTGCGAGTTATTTTTAATATATGTATCATTAATATTTTTTAAATTTGCTTATACAGGGTGTCTCAGAAAGATTAATTACTGAGTTGTTAAAAATTAAATATCCAGTCAGATTTAGGAATTTAACTTGTTACTATGGAAATATGCAATTTATTAAGTTATTTATACCTTTTAAATTTAACAAGTTTTTACAAGTTTAATAGGGGCAAAATCAGCCTTATCTTAGCAAGTAATAGCCCTGGCCACCCACCCTTCAGTTTCTTAGAGGGTATGTCATTTGCCAAAATCAGTCTTATCTTGCCAAGTACTAGCCTCGCCCACCCGCCCCATATTTTCTCAGAGTTTATGGTATTTGCCAAAATCAGTCTTCTCTGAGCAAGTGCCAGCCCCACCCACCCGCCCCTATTGTCTCAGAGGATATGTCATTTGTCAAAATAAGACTTATCTTAGCAAGTACTACACTCTGAGAAAATAAAGGGCGGGTGGGCGGGGCTAGTAGTTGCTAACATAAGTCTTATTTTGGCAAATGATATATCCTCTGAGAAAATACTGGGCGGGTGGGCGGGGCTAGTACTTGGCAAAAAAGGACTGATTTTGGCAAATGACATATCCTCTAAGAAACTGAAGGGTGGGTGGCCAGGGTTATTACTTGCTAAGGTAAGACTTAGTTTTTACAAGTTTAATAGGGGCAAAATCAGCCTTATCTTAGCAAGTAATAGCACTAGCCACCCACCCTTCAGTTTCTTAGAGGGAATGTCATTTGCCAAAATCAGTCTTATCTTGCCAAGTACTAGCCCCGCCCACCCGCCCCCTATTAATCAAAGTTTATGGCATTTGCCAAAATCAGTTTTCTCTGAGCAAGTGCCAGCACCACCCACCCGCCTCTATTGTCTCAGAGGATATGTCATTTGCCAAAATAAGACTAATCTTAGCAAATACTACCCTCTGAGAAAATAAAAGGTGGGTGGGCGGGGCTAGTAGTTGCTAACATAAGTCTTATTTTGGCAAATGATATATCCTCTGAGAAAATACTGGGCGGGTGGGCGGGGCTAGTACTTGGCAAGATAGGACTGATTTTGGCAAATGACATACCCTCTAAGAAACTGAAGGGTGGGTGGCCAGGGTTATTACTTGCTAAGATAAGACTTATTTCGGCAAATGACATATCCTTTGGAAAAATAGGGGGCGGGTGGGCGAGCCTAGTATTTGTTAAGATAAAGCTGATTTTGCCCCTATTAATCTTGTAAAAACTTGTGAAATTTAAAGGTGTTAAATTGCAAATTTCAATAATAACGAGTTAAATCAGGAACGGGTCACTCCGTTTTCCCAGAAAATTTTGGGGATACAATACTGTTATTTTTAGTATTACACTACACCACTCCAAGTTGATATACGTGTCCTTGCAAAAATGTTGATGATGTCATCACAAAATTCTGTAAAGTAAAAACTCAATTCAAAAATGCTGGATATATTTCACTATACTTTAGGTGCGAGGGAAGGTTTTAGTATAAGAATATTATCTTTAAAAATGTTATTTATGTATATTTTGTAATAAAACGTAAGCTCGAGAAACCTGGTTTTGTAATGTGTAAATAAATTTAGTTAAGTTATTATCGTTTTTTTTTTATTTTTGGAGCATATGCAACTGCTTATCTCTGCATATATTATAAAAAAGTTACTGCATATTTGCATAAATTTGATGCATATTATATGATCATATTTCTCAAAATTTTGCTGCATATTTTCCGCCCTTTAATTATGAAGATTACTAAAAATAAAGACGATATAAGTATCTTAATAATACTCTCTAGGTTGAAGCTTTTCGGTCGCGTACAGTAAACAGTAAACATATCTTCTAAAGAACTACTTTTCTCAACACAGTACGTAGATTTCAATCACCAAATACAAACAACAAAACTCACGAAGTATGTATAAACACGACATGTGCAGCATTTTAGATTAGTGAAATTAGCAGCAGTACAATAATATAATAATGATCATTGCCACATCAAAGCTAGTGTTGACGTTTGCCGCCTTGTTGAAATACGAATTATAATGAGGTGCGGTTTGCTCGTAGTGAGGGTTGTTGTGGAGAAGAGCGGCGAATTTGGACGAACGCAAAGTTCCACTGATGTGAGAAATATTTATAGCAGTCTAGTTTTACTTCTTGTAAAAACTTTTTATACATAAATGTCTTTTCTGTAATTTGTACAATTAAAATTAAAATACGGTATACTAAAACAAAATGAAACCATCCACAATTATATCTTCACAGGGCATAAATTCAGATTTTGTTGTTGTATTATTTCTGTTTGCTGTTTATTCATTCCTCCGCATACACGTATAATTTTAATGTGGCTAAATCACCAGATATAAACAAATTTCCATTTTACAAAATTCTTTATTCACGAAAAGTTCGTGGGAATTATACCCTAAAACACTTGATAAATTAGGCATATTTTGCCATATCGTATGAAATAAAATTTTGTTTAACGAACAAATCCAGCATAAAAACAACAAAAAAACTGATAATAGCGAATTTTATTAGCTTATCAGCATACATTAACTGTTATATGTTACCCCGATGAAAGCCCTATATTTCGTCTCTTTAAACGCGTAATCTGTAAATATAAATAGCTTAGTTTTAATAACGTATTGATTTTTAGCAACTCGGCATCTTAAAAAAATGTTACGTAGTTACCCTTCTAGAACTTCCTTAATAACTCTACTGAAAATAATTCAGTGATTTTAGATAAATCCGGGAAATTGGAGCATGCAGCAATGTCTTTAATATATATAATGTGTTACAGTCGCGTCCCACTTTTCGTTACCCTGCACGTAAAAGATGAATGTTTTCCACTGGCTAGGGCCACATATCAAGTCTAGCTCTGCTGCTAGAAAAATAGATGAAAAATCGTACGACAAGGACGAGAGATGCCTCATGACCTGGTTTGTGACGTAAAGTGGTTCGCTAGGAAACTCCAATCACAGACGAGAGTGTTTCTCACCCACCAATCACAAGAGGGTTTTAAATTATGTTTTGATAACGTTTCACAATTAAACTGACTATTGTTTAGTTCAAAAATAGTAAGTCCTGCTACAGTGCGCGTAGCGCACATCAAATTTGTATTTTTATTTTTTAGTACTGCATATTTCCTCAAAAACATCTTCTTTATTCACTGCCTAGCGTCCTTGTCTCGCAAAGCCGCCCTTAATAAAAAATTCCACAGCACAAGTTTCCAAACAATTCAATTTCCCCTTTCTTGAATTAATTACGGTCTAGTATCATCTTCTCATGTTTAAAATGAATGTTTGCATTGCATCTCTTGTTTTCCCTATCTTGTAATTAAATTGTCAGAGAGCTGTTTGGGTTTACAGGAGGGTGTGGTAATCGTCGTAACTTTCGTCCTATAGTATCACAAAGGTGTTCATTGGAATTTGAATAGGAATTGCACACCGGCTATTGAATTGTGGGAACATCGACCTCATCCTAACATGTACACAATTCCCTCTGTATCTATTATCGCTTATGTTTCAGCGGCTGAGCCGGATAGACTTGAAAATACAAAGACGTCAAGACTTCATAGTTTTCAATTGCATCTGCATGCACGAATCAATACTCACTCGATGAATGGTATTGAGGTAATTTAGCGTTCTGTACTGCATTTAACTTGTCGAAATTCTCAATCATCCCAATTTAACCCTCGAGAGGACGCTGATAATGATCCTGTCAGGGTATACTCCAATTAGCAAAACCGAAGTCGGTGAACTTTAACCATTTGTGAGATTTTATACCAAACGCGAAACGCGTTTTTTGGTATTTAGGCAAGCAAATGAGTATTTTGTAACTATGTTATTATTTCGTTGTAATTTGATTTTCTGT